ACAGACCACATTCGGGGCCGTGAAACTACCTTAACAAATGTGAAAGAACAGAAATCACAAAAATACAATCTATGAAAATTTGTATGGTGTAGAAAAAGCCGTTCTGAGAGGGGAAATTTGTAGTATGGAAAATGATCTAAAATTAATAACCTAAGGTTCTACATTAGGAAATCTGAACCAGCAAAATGAATCCAAACCAAGCAGAAGACAATAATGAGAATTAGAGCTCAACTTGAAATTAAAGAATTAATACAGAAAATGAACAAAAACTAGAAGCTGATTCTTTGTCTTTTTTTTTGTGATTGTTGTTATAAAAATATAGATAACATAACCTTGGTGAGTTAAAAGTTTCTTTGAAAAGGTCAATAAAATTGATAAACTTTTAGTCAGGCTAATCAAGGAAAAAAGAGAGCAGACCTAAATAATTACTCTCAGAAATGAGAGAGGGGCTGTCACTGCTGGTTTATGAACACTAAAAATACTAATAAAGGAATGTAATGAACAACTCTATGTCCCCAAATTTGAGAACTTAGATGATATGGACCAATTCCTTGAAAAAAACAATTGATCAAAACTCACACAAGGAGAAAGACAATCTGAAACATTTCTTAAGTTGGAAAAATACAGACCAATATCTTTCATGACCATGGATACTGAATTTCTCAACAAAATATTAGCAAATCAAATTCCATAATGTATAAAAGGAAATATAAGACATGGCCAAATGGGATTTAGTCCAGGTAGGAAAGACTAGTACAATATTCAAACATCATTTAATACAGTTCATCCTATCAACAGGCTAGAGAAGAAAAATATGATGTTATCAATAGACACAGAAAAAGCCTTTGACACACTCCAACACCCATTCATGAAAAAACCACCACCAGCAAGCCAGAGACAGAGCGGAGCCTCCCCTACTGGATAAAGAATATCTGCAAGAACCTACAACAAACTTCATCCTTCATGGTAAGAAACTAGATGCTCTCCCTCTCAGATAGGGCCAAAGACAAGGATAACCCCTCTGCACACTCCGTATTCAAGATCGTACTGGATTTCTGTTGTTGTTGTGAGGGGCCTTCGAGCTGATTCTGCTTCACAGCAACCCCATTCGGCACCGTGGAACTGCCCCACAGAGTTTTCTTGGTCATAATTGTTATGGGAGTAGATAGCCAGGTCTTCTTCCTGTGGAGGTGCTGGTGGATTTGAACCTCCAACCTCTCGGTAAACAGCTGAGTGTTTAGCTGCTGCTCCACCAAGGCACATATGTGCTGAAAATTCTAATAAATAATAATGATACCGATGATTTTAATACATTTACCATTATGAAATAAAAACCTAGTATGTACTTAAAGCACTTACTGATGAAGATTAAAGACTACAATCTATACTATGGACTACAACTCAACATAAAGAAAACAAAAATCCTTACAACTGGACCAATAAACAGCATCATGATAAATGGAGAAAAAATTGACATTTTCAAAGATTTCATATTACTTGGATCCACAATCAACAACAATGGAACCAACAGTCAAGATATCAGACGAGGTCTTGCACTGGGAATATCTGCCGCAAAAGACCTCTTTAAAGTACTGAAGAGCAAGGATGTCTCTTTGAAGACTAAGGTGCACCTAACCCAAGCCATGGTATTTTCAGTAGCCTTACATGTATGTGAAAGCTGGACAATGAGTAAGAAAGACCGAAGAAGAGCTGATGCTTTTGAGTTGTGATGTTGGAGACGAATAATGCAAGTACCATGGACTGCCAAAAGAATGAACAAATCTGTCTAGGAGAAGTATATCCAGAATGCTCTTTGGAAGCGAGAATGGCCAGACTTCATCTCACCTACTTTGGTCACGTTGTCAGAGGGGCCATTCCTTTGAGAAGGACATCATGCTTGGTAAAGTAGAGGGTCAAGCAAAAAAGGGAAGACCCTCAATGAGATGGATAGGCACAGTGGCTGCACCAATGGGCTCAGGTATGGTAAGGACTGTGAGGCTGGCACAGCATTGGGCAGTATTTCGTTTTGTTGTACATAGGGGTGCAATGAGTTGGAGCCAACTTGACAGCACCTAACACAACAACATGTACTATGGTCCAGATGCTTCAGCTTTTCATATACATATGTGTGTGTGTGTGTGTGTGTGTATACATATGTATATATACACAAGTATTTTACATTTAATACTTTTTAACTCCCACAAAATCTTATAGCCAAACACTATCATCACCACTTAGAGATGAGAAAATACAGGCTTACAGTTACATAACCTAAGAGAAATCACAAACTTGAGAAATAAATGCAGGGCATACAGACTTGGAAGGAAGAAATAAAACTGTCTCTGCTCTGATGGTCTAACAGGGCAGTGAATAAACACACCAGTGCACCTACACAATGGAGTGTTAGGCAGTGATAAAAAGAAATGAGTCATCAATCATTCTAAGACAGGACACAGAGAAATCTAACCGCAGATTGCCAAGTGAAAGAAGCCAGTCTGAAAAAGTTACATACTGATCCCAACTATATTTTGGAAGACAAAGCTAGAGAACCAGTGAAAAGATCACGGTCCACCAGGGGTCCAAGGGGAGGGATGAACAGGTAGAGAGACCAGGGCATTCGAAGGACAGTGATACTGTGCCGCATGACAATGACATTAGGCATCTGTCACAATCCGCATAAGTCACGACACTAAGCACGAGCTCGCACATGAAGTATGGGCTTTAGTTAACAACGACGCATGGACATGGTTCATCAGTCGTGACAAAGGTACCACACAAATGCAAGATGTTCACGCTAGGGGAAAATGTACAGGGAGACAGCAGGTAAAGAGAAACGCTCCAACTTTCTGTGCAACTTTTCTACAAACTCAAAACTGCTCTAAAAAATAAAGTAAATAAATAAATTACGTTTAATAAAAAGTAGCGTGGATAATCCAGCACCATATAAAATGAAATAAAATACCGCTTCCTATTGTCTCACTACTCCATTCCTGACATATTTCCTTTCAGACCTTTCTCTGTGTGTGCGTGTACACACATACATACGTGTATGTATCTATATGAATACGTCTATATATTTTTCATTCTTTTACTTTATAAAACCCTAGGCTGACATCCATATTTTTCTGGAACTTGCTTCTTTCACTTAGCAATACATGATGGCCATCCTTTCAGGACAGTCTACATGGCTTTACCACCTTTTTCAAAGGTGCAGAGAATGCCACCCTATTGGCGTAACATAGGTCATTTAACCAACTGTTCCTTTATTGATGGACACCAGTATAGCCCAATGTTTCACCTTCCCAATGGAGCTGCAATGGACATTCTTGTACATCTAGTCCTGTAAACTTCTCTGAGCAGATGGATTCCTGGAAATAAAGTTGTTGGGTGAAAGGGTGTTATTGTTGTTATTGTGTGCTGTTGAGTCAATACCAACTCATAGCCACCCTACAGGACAGAGTAGAACTGCCCCATAGGGTTCCCTGGGCTGTCATCTTTACAGGAATAGGTCAACAGACCTTTTTTCCTATAGAGTGGCTGGTGGGTTTGAACCACAGACCTTTCAGTCAGCAGCCTGGCATTTAACCACTGAGCCACCAGGGCTCCTTGGGTGAAAGGGTAAGTGTATTTGAACTTTTGCAGGATAGTGCTGAATGGCTACAGCAATTGTTTCCCCAGCAATAAGATCTAGCCATTCATTCTGACTTTCTTTTCTCATTAAATCTCTTTATATTCCTAGACTTAGGAAAAGATCTTAGAAAACAAACGCTTTGATTTGTTTTAGAGAAAACAGAGGTTCAGAGTTTAAGTCAAGGCCATGGGCCTAAGACCTCAGAGCCCCTGAGGAAATTCAAACTTCTGCACTGGCATGGGGCTCAGGTAAGGCTAAACACTGCTGCAACCCAGACAGCAACTGGGGTTAATTGACTTAAAGATGAAGTGTTTCATGAGGGCTACTAACAAGTAAGAAAGGGGATGAAGTGTCCTTTTATTTTCCTTGCCTCCTCTTGGCAGGAAGGGGGGGTCAACCCATAAATTCCTAAAAAATACAAGAGCAAGAGGGTGAAGGGCAGTGGTATTCTCAAACTGGGTGGAGCAATGGCTACCACGAGCTGAAGGTACCGTAAGTTCAGCTGTACGAAGTGAGCAAATGTGGTGGAAAAGACTCTGACACGGGCTGACCTGAGCAGAAACCTTCCACAGCCCCAGTGGGTTGTATGAAAAGTTTCTTGGTTCTAAATATCTCCATGTGGCATCCAAAATGAATGCCAGGACTGAAACCAAATTCTGAAGAGAAATATCAGAAAAGAACTAACATCCCACAATGAAGAAACATCTTCAAAGAAGATGTTGTTATAAAAATACCACAAGAGTACTTTCCAACAAATTCCAGACCTAAAAGTAAAGCTTTCAAGTGAGGCTCCAAGCACTGAGGTCTTGAATCCTTTGCTAGGCCTGAAGAGGCCCACTGAAAGGAAGGCACTTCCATCAAAGGAAGGCACTTCTTACCAGAGAACACTCCTCATTCCACAAAACCTAAGGAACAAAGCGATGAAGAAAAGGTGACAAGTGTATCTTTTGGAATTAGAATGGTCTACAAGAGGGCTCAGCAAACTTTTCTGTAAAAAGCCAGAGAGAAGTGATTTTAGGCTTTGCAGGCCATATGGTCTCTGTTGCAAATACTCAATTCTATCCTTGGGGTGCAAAAACAGCCATACACACATAGACAAATAAGCACAGCTGTGTTCCAGTGAAACTTTTTGCATAACACTGAAATCTGAATTTCACATAACTTTCATGAAATATTCTTCTTGCTGAATTGAATGTACCCTGTGGGCTAGTATCTGCCTACCCGTGGTACAGAAGCACTTAGTTCTCAATTGAACTACATTTGACTGTTGGCAGAAAGATGGGAACATATGAGCCCAGCCCATAGGGGGGTTAAATTAGAAGGCAGGAAGGTGGAAACATGTTGTCCCTATAGGGTTTCAAGTGTTTACCTTAAATCTCTTCTCTTGCTGAATTCCTCTTGTGGAATTGTCCACGGCAGGTTCTGAGGGAGACATTCTAGCACTTGTGAAGAGAAATCAGAGAAATCCACTCCATACTCAGTGAGAATTCCTTCTGTCTCAGGCTCAATTTCACCAGCCTGTCCAAGGCTCTTAGCCAGCTGCCTGTGGATAGAACAGAGACAGAATGACTGGACTAATGAATGAATCGAATGGATGCACCTGTCTCATCTCTAAATTTGAGGGTAAGAAGGACTTTTTCAAAACCTCCTCCCTTCCACCAGCAGAAGTATGACCATCAGTGGTGGGGGTCCAACCAGAAGAAACAATGATACCCACGTCATGTGAAGTCCAACAACAGTGTTATTTTTACCTCTTTCTTCAGAAGTACTGACCTGGGACATGGGGTCAGGAGGCCTTTATGAGGACTTCTGTAATGATTTTTCCCAGACAAGTCAAAATTGATACTGTTAAAGGTTTTCACCAACTCTTGCAAACACCATTAGAGACAATTCCGATCAACTCAGTTTGTTGTTCAAACGTCACCTAGGCATGAGCACTAGATTAGATCTGATGTTTACATTTATTTTACAATTCTACTAGGTCTGACCCTAATGTTCTAAAATATTGTTTTGGTTCCCTAGTGCTGCTATAACAGATACAACACAGGTGGATGGCTTTCCTGTTTAGGAGGCTTGAAGTCCAAGTTCAAAGTGCCAGCTCTAGAGGCTGGGTGAAGGCCCCTCAACCTTGGACTTGAGCTTTGCCTCTTGCTCCTGGTCCACTGAAGCTGGAGGCATCTCTTAATTCAGGCAGCTCCTGGCTGCTAAGGCTGACAAACCCAAGGTCGACAAGTAAAATGGCAAAGTCCCAAGATTAGCAAACACAGCAGGCCACTAGTTCAAGCCCAGAAATGGCCCAAGATTGGCAGGCAACATGACAGGCTGCTGAATGAAGATTCAGCTACATGTAGGGTCCAAGTGTGCCAAAAAAAAGCTCAGAGACCTTCCTCAAAGCTGCTTCTTAGATATTGGAAGCAGACTACATCCCTAAGGCTCACAGCAGATACCACTATGGAGACGATTACCAGTCTCATCACGGGAATCACTACATCCAGCGTCCTAGCCACTCAAAACCAGGCCACGCTGAAACACAACCTTAACTATCACATCTACACAGAAGTTAGAAAATAGAGAAATCCACAGGGAAGAAAATTAAAATGATGTATAATCCCATCACCCAGTAAACTACTGTTCATGTATTAGGGTACTGGGCCCAATCAGAGTAAGATTTCATTTAGTAGGGTAGGCCTGACATTCCGAGTAGGATTCCACCCTCTACAGGGCAGATCTTTATCTGTGGATCATTTTACATATATATTAAAAGTGGTAGGCCTCCATTCTCATATGAATGACACTAATTCTGGATTTGACTTGGCTATCTTCATTCATATAAACACATTCGTATAAACACTGTAGTCCACAGATATGCTGAATAATTTTACACAATTATGTTATCTCACTCAACCTCTTTTGTAATCAAGGATCTCACTTTAAAGAAGAAAAGCCCACAGAATTCACTGATTCAAATGGTCTAATGGTCTACTGAAGATGGAATTATGGGACTAGTTGGAAGGGGCACAGGAAAGATCAGCATAAATCCAATCCCCAAAATGTGGCTGTTAATTCCATTATTTACATTCCTATTTCTCCAACCTCATCATCATTTGCCTCCTGGTGCACACACACTCTGACACTAGCCACCCGTGGTAAAGTCAAAGCTCACAATTTAAAAAAATAGCATTCTTTAGACTGCCAAGCAGACAGACACCAGCCATTAGTCTGGAGAGTCCGCATGATACCCCAGCCTGCTGACCTGCCGGCCACAAATTTGGGGCTGATTCCCAATGCCCCTTCCAGATGCCAGCCATAACCTTGGGGTCCACAGGACACCCTCACTTTATGATCTGCTGGCTTCTACTACCCCTTTAGGTGCAATAATTTGTAAGAACGACTCAAAGAACGGACAGTATAATGGTACACATGCTTTTAACTACAGATTTAGTATAACCAAAAAGGATACAAATGAAGAGAAACCAAGGGCGAAGTCTGGGATGGTTCTAAACAGTAAGCTTCCATGTCCCAAGGGACACACTGCCTTCCCCAGAGCAGATGTGCTCATCAACCAGGACGCTCTCTGGGCTTCCACGTTCAGGTCTTTTTAATCAGCCAGTCCTGCCTGATAGGCTGAATCAAGCCTCTGGGGAGTAGCTGGTATCAGCCTCCTTGTGAGTCTTTTCTGGTCCAGCCACCTCCCATTTGCCAGCACAAATTCTCAGCTGAGGCCTGGCAGTCCCAGACCAAGGCACGCCAGTTACTCCAGTGGTTTCTTCTCTACAGCCGAGGACCACGGTCACCTTATGGAGGGTAGAACTAGGTCTTGCACGCCATGGGAAGCCACGCTGTGAGAGGCTCGAGGACTCTCCTCCAGGACACACCGCTGCTCTGACTCAGCATCTCAAGGCCAGGGCATGGCCTGGGAACCAAGGGTGGAAGGCAGGCGCCATGCCTTTCAGTATCACACTGAAAACCCACGTACAAAATTTTGTCTCGTCACTCATATGCTCACTTCTATGGTTAAGAGGATTTAGTAGCTCCGAGAACACAATGATCCCTCTGAATTAGAAGCTGAGACTCTAAGAACACTAACAGACATAAAAAGGCAAAAAAATAGACTACCAAGTTCCTTCCTGGAAAAAAAAAAAAAAATTTAAAATTCAAGATGGAAAACTGACACTCAGAAGTAAGGACTCAAGAATGACAAGCAGCAGACCAGGAGAACTACATGGCGCCCGGCTACCACAAATGACTGCTCTGCCCAAGACCACAATAAAAGGCTGTGGTGGTTGTTGTTGTTAGGTGCGGTACAGTTGGTTCTGACTCATAGCGACCCCATGTACAATAGGAACAAAACACTGCCCGGTCCTGCACAAGCCTCATCATCGTTTAAGGGTTGATCCCGCTATTACAGCCACTGAGTCCATCCATCTCCCTGAGGGTCGGCCTCTTTCTCACGGACCCTCTACTCTACCAAGCACAATGCTCTTCTCCAGGGGCTGGGCCCTCCTAACTTCTCCAAACTTTTGCCATCCTCACCTCGAAGGAACATTCTGGCTGTACTCTATCCAAGACAGACTTGCAATGTTGTTGTTGTTGTTGTTGTTGTTATGTGCCGTCGAGTCAGACCTAACTCATAGTGACCCCTCCTTGGTTTTCCAAGGCAGTATCACTACAGAAGTAGATTGCCCAACCTTCCTTCCAAAGAGTGGCTGATGGGTTTGAACTGCCAGCATTTTGGTTTAGCGGTCAAGTGCCTTAGGCACTATGCTACCAGAGCTCCCTGGCAGCCCATGGTATACTCAATATTCTTCACCAACACCACAATTCAAAGGCATCAATTCTTCTTCAATCTTCCTTATTTATTGTTCAGCTTTTGCATGCATATGAAGCAACTAAAAATACCATGACGTGGGTCAGGTGCACCTTAGTCTTCAAAGTTACATCTTTGCTCTTGAACACTTTGAAGAGGTCTTTTGCAGCAGATTTGCCCAATGCAATATGTCATTTGATTTCTGGGTGGCTGCTTTCATGGGTGTTGACTGTGGATCCAAGTAAAGTGAAACCCTCGGTATCATCAATCTTTTCTCCATTTATTACGATGTTGCTTACCGGTCCACTGCTAGCAACTGACACCAACTGTAAAAACGGCAAGGAGGCCACATGTTCTGACCTCCTCTAATCTCACAAGAGGAAGA